TCTCGTTTTTGTTATAATTGTAAAATTCAGTGAAATAGGATTAGGATATATGAAATTCATTATAGCACGTAATTTAATGACTGGTGTGATCATAAACAATTGCCTCGAGAACATGCTGTAAAGGAGCATGACTTGCTATTTTTGAATGTGTCGCTGATGAATATCTGAACGAATTCACCATTTTCAGGTATATTCGTCGCGAAAACGAAACTTTACGAGGAAACAATGAAAGTGTGCTTATCATTAGCTGTTGTTGTGGGTTTGGTGTTCTTACAGGTTCGTTGTTTCTTGAAAATAAGTACATTTGTTCATGTTGGATGTAGTTCATAGTTAAAATAACCGTGCTACTAGTGCTGTTTGTTGAATAATGATAAATGATAGAATTTCAGTTAACATTACATCCAAACTTAGAAGTGTACATAATAATCGGATGTTTATTATTCGGCGCGTTCGGGTTAGCATCATACCCGGTTGGTCTTGAGATCTCTGCAGAGTGCACATTCCCTGTCTCGGAAACCACTTCTACTGGATTGATCGTACTCTCGGGACAGGTGAAACATTTGTCGTACTTTCATATTGTTCATTTCATTTGTTGAATAATTTATATGTGGCAGAGTAGATGAAATAACAATGATAATGCTTCAGTTTCAATCAATATTGTATGTGGCTTTAATGGAAATATTCAGTAAACCTCTTCAACCGTCGTATATGCATATTCAAGTTTGTACCACTGGTGAAGATAATGAACAGACAGTACCCAAGGACAATACGAACGCCGTTATTGTATGATTTATTCATTATAGAATAGACAGTTTTATTTTGAAAATACATGAATACATATCATATATAATGATAATCACGTCGGACTGGAAACGTGATAACGNGCAAAGTTTGTTTTGTGGCAGGTTACAGTCCCGATCGCTCGAAAAATTTTGCTGGAAATCGATTGTTTTACTGATGTGAGCAATAGTATTACATAGTTGAATAGATATTTACGGTGAATTGTCGAGAAGAATCATGTAATAACGATTCGATGAATGAGTATTGAGATAATGACCTATAGGTAAACAGTTGTCTGTGTTGCATAGTTGAAATATGATATGAATACCAGTGCTAGGTGGATGTAAAAATTAAAAAATAAATGTACTTAAATTTTAGGTTTTCTCGATAGTGGCCACAATATTGGCGTTGTTGTTGATATTGATATTCCGACCGACGTTGAAACGATTGAATGCAGAAAATGGCATCAAAAATGCGAATAAGAATGCAAAACAGATGAATAATAAGAACGTTGCGATAAAATTAACGAATGAGCTGGACAACGATACAGCACAGTTATCACCGTTGAATGATAATTGTTAATTTGCATGTTGAATTTGGCATAATTTAGTGTTATTGTTATTATTATTTGTTTTTATTAACGGATCTGCGATCGGGAACAGAAAGACGACGAATTATCTCTGGTACTTGTTGTTGTTGTTAGGGGATTGAGGAATGTCAAGAAATCGTTTCACACTCATTTCGTGAAGAAATTCTCGAAACATATGTAGGAATCATCAACACTGAAGTGGATTATTTTTATCAAAGGCAGAGGGTTTTGTTGGTGAAGAATTTCTGATTAGAGACCTGATCAGTAGCATGGCTAGTAATGGTTGTTATTTCAAATTTGGAACGTTCTCAAACTGTTGTTTTTGTTTGTAATGTAACTAATTCTTTATCATAAAACAATTTTTTTTCGAAATTCTCATTATTCATTGTAATCTTATGATTAATTTCGTTGTTATTGTTCATTGTTGAATGTCGCATTTTCTATTTGTTGATAATTCGTTTCGTTCGTTGATCAACTGATAGTACAAGATTTGCGGTTGTTACGGGAAATTGTTCGATCGATGTTTCAAATTTTCAGTCATATTTAAGAAAGAAAAATTTTTATTGTTGACATTATCACTGTCGCAATCAATAACGTTCATTTTTTAGTAAGACTATCAACTCGATCGATTACCATTTAAGTGTCGATCGAAACAAGTCAACTTTTGCTTTTCTGTCAATCAAATTTTATTTTCTATTTAATTGCTCAATCTTGAAATGTTAAATGAATCAAAAAAATGTGTGGGATTTTTCGGTGTTTTGAAATTAAAAGCGAGAGAAAAGGATGTGGGGAATGAAAGGTGGTTTGTCATAGAATGCACGTGTGCTCTCAAAGATGTAATTATTGCTCTGTCGATATGCACGTTTTTTGCTGTGAAAATCCGTTTTGTCAATATTTACCAGTTTTTAAGGGTCAGTTTTGGTGCTATTGGACTGAGGTGAGCCATTTATAGGGGTTCTTGAGGGGGGGGGGGAGTTGGTATTGCCCATGCGTAATTAAGTGATACCATGAATGTGAAAAGGGCACTGAGCTGACCAGATGAATTCCGGGCGAACTGCCTTGCTGGTCCAATCGAACACATTCAGATAGATGCGGTTCACCTTGAGTAGAATAGCACAAATTTTCAAGTGAAATCTCCACTGATTGTCTCACTTATTCTTAGTTTTTAATTCAATTTTCATGATTGTTTTTACTTAAGTTTGTATCCTCAAAAAGTAGATATGACAGCGATTACCTTGAAAAGTTTTATGAAGTGGAAAGTTCTCAACTGTTTGTTTTGAAATTGAATCAGCGCTTTGCAGAAGTATGCATATATGCATTTGTTCCTCTATTGTTTTTATCATGGATATGAGATTAACTTATTTATAAGTCATATCATTTTTTGATTCGATTAGTTCAAATCAAAACATTGTTGTCGCATTTTTCAGTTGATTCTCTGCGGAGTTTGTTTTCATTTGGTTGATTTACTTGTTGATGTTTTTATCAGATGTCATTTATTATTGATGATGATTATTATTTCTGTTATTATTATTATTATTATTATTATTATTATTATTATTATTATTATTATTATTATTATTATT